AGACATAGAGGCTTAAAAGCAAACACAAAGGTATGACATTTATCCAAACTATAAAATATTTTACAAGAAGTTCCATTGAATGTTGTAATTACATCCTAGATAGCTCACTGAGAAGCAGTTTAAAGTTTCTAAGAAAGGACTTTTAATTTTCCAAGAAAGAAATTTCAAAATTATTGAAAAGGGATTTCAAAACCAAAAACTGAAAAAATCTTAACTGATAAAAGGAAAAAAAATTCAATAAAAATAATTTCTTCAAATGAGAAATTATGACATGTGGCATTTGCCAATAAATATGATTTATAAGGAGAAAAACACTTTGAAATATCAACGTAAGCAATTAAGAGATCTTTATACCTTGTTAGAAGTTTATCAACGAAGATATGAAGTCTTAGAACGTGAGTTAGAACTTGACTATCAAAGGGTATCACCTGATAATAGAATGAACACCATGAGATTTTATGGTTTCAGACTAAATAGTATGACGACCTTAATTGTTTATACTCATGAATCAATTAAGAAAGCAGAAAAACAAGCATCTCTTTTGGGTGCTGCCTAGTTCATAGATTTTGTTTGAGTATTAAAACTCTAGCTTACTATGGAAAACGATGATTTTTAGCAATTGCCGATAAGAGTAGTGTTTACAGATATAAATTGTCTCAAAACATTAAGAAAGCAAATACTTCGATTAACAACTAGTTTGAGAGAAGAACAAAACTTGAATAATTATATGCAAGTTTTTAGTTCTGCATCTGTATAAATAAAACTAGCAACTATGAGAACCTACATTGATAATGTCAATAGAATGGTTTCTTTCATTCTTGCATTAAATAAGTCTATAAAGAAGGCACAACAACAAAGCTCAGTTCTTATGACTTATAATGAGTTACTTAGATAACTTGCATAAATTCCGCACGGGAATCAGCCCGTAAAAATCCTGGTATCAGAGCCATGGATACAAGAAAAATCCTATCGGATAATAAATCCTTTGATCAATATTTTTTGAGTTCATTTTCCAATACAGAATTAAAATTCAGAATGGGGAATACCAGTATTCGCGATCCCATTTTAAGGTGGAGACAGCTGGAAAACCTGTTTGGAATATGAATTCCAATACGGATAATGAAAACAAAAATATAAAACAATATCTATGTTCTAATAGTGATCTTTCACAAATTTCATTTAATGAAAATGAAAAAGGATTTAAAGCCAGTTTGACAATAAAACATGATGTTTAACTAAGATTCAAATATCAAAGTTAAATCTCAAAAAAGAAGAAGTTTTTAACATTCTAATGTTAAATTTTTTAAAAAGAAAAAAAAAATGAAATTTTCTATTTTTCAACAAGCAAGAATTTCATGTAGACATAAATGATGTTAAAGGAACCGTATACCTGCCTTAATTACTAAAACAGAAATACAAAAAAATTTGGAGAAAATACCATCTTTTATAAGAAATAAAATTTTAACAATTCATCTAGAAGCAATAAAAATTTTGCTTAAAGCTGAATTTCAAGAAGGAGTTGATACTTCTATAAAAAAAGCATTAATTGATGATAGAATTAATGACAGAAAGAACTGTATCTTAGGAGCAGCAAGCGAAAATCTTGCTTATAGTAAATTTATCTATCCTAAATTTGACATGTGTATTCAAACTGCAAATCTAGATAGAAATTTATCTTTCATTCACCACTTTGAAAGAGAAATTTAATGAACCCTGGAGATAAAGTCTTTAGTATTACATATGTTATAAGTTATGCTTTGACTAAAAGTCACCATAGTATAGATTGTAGGAAAAAATCTTATATTGAACTAGAAGATATCTTTTCAGATATAGGTTCAGTAGAAGAAAAAACCTTATGTGAGTTAGCACCTCTAGAAGAACACTGGGCTATTGATATAGCTAAAGGAAGAACTTTAATAGGAAATAAAATCCTATGCGAATTAAGGAAAACTCTTTGGTTATAGGAGAATCAAGTAGATTATCAGTCTCAGAAAAAGGCTCTCTAGCTGATATGTCAGATAGAATAGATAATTTATCCAGTATGTTAAAACAATTAACTTCGGGATAAAAAATCATATCAGATAACGAAAATACATTCGTTATACTATAGCAGAAACGAAAATACACTCGTTATTCAAAATGAGGGTGTTTGGACATTTTATTTGTCATATTTTATACAAAAATCAAAAAGAAAATATGGGGTCATTTAAACAAAAAAGACCTTTGAGCAGGTCATATAAATGAAGAGCCCCTCCTTAGAAAAATTACAAAAATGATACATCAAGTTGGGCGTTGTCAACAAATGGGACATTTTGTTGTCCCTCACGAGAAGAAACATTTAGTTGGCATTTTGGCCGGAAAAGATACAGTAATCACCCTTGTTGGATAAAAATCTGACGTGACGTGATGTGGCGTTACACCGACATAAAAAATATTAAAAAATTAAAAATCAAAAAAATAAAAAATAATATATACCAAATATAAATATATTTTGTTTATATATATTAAAAAAATTAAAAAATAAATAAAAAATAAAAAATATTTTGTTAAATATAAATATATTTCGTTAAATAATATTAAGAAAAAAAAATTATATTTCGTTAATATATATTAAAAAATTATTACAAATATATTTCTTTGTATTTGTTAAATATAAACAAATAAAAAAATTAAAAAAATGAAAAATAATATATAGTAAATATAAATATATTTCGTTTATATATATGTTAAGAATAAAAAATTTACAAAAAATAAAAAAAGAATAAAAAATAATATTTGTTAAATATAAATATATTTCATTTAATATATATTAAAAAATAAAATAAATCTTTATATTTCATTAATACATATTAAAAAACTTATTAAAAAAATCTTTCGTTAATATTTTGTTAAATATAAATATATTTCGTTAATATATATTAAAAAAATATTGAAAAAATAAAAAAAATTATTTTTGATAATAATAATGATATATAATTTATTATATTATCTAATATGATACTTTGCATAATAGTTATTTATATAATATATAAATGTATTAAATATATAAATATAAATCACAATATATATATATATATATTTAAATAATTGTATTTTAATTTATTTAGAAATATATATATTTAAAAATATATATTATATTAAGTACATTTAACGAAATGTTAACGAAGTGTACTTATATTTAATATATATTTTTTATTATTTTTATTATATATATATTTTTTATTTTTTTATATTCTATTTTTTAAAATAAAATATATGTTTTTTATTTTTTTAGTATTTTTTAATATATTTACATATATACGAAATGTATTTATATTTAATGAAATATATTTATATTTAAAATAATATTTTTTATTTATTTGTAATTTTTTAATTTCATTATATATTAGCGAAATATAAATATTTATTTATTTTAATATATTTAACGAAATACTCTTATATTTAAAATAACATTTATTTTTTATTTTTTGTAATTTCTTAAATTTCTTAAATTTTTTTAGTTATTTTTTTATTTGTTTAAGGATTTTGCTACTTTGCCACCCTCCATTACGACATGGTTTAGAACCATGTGTAATGGAGGCATTAAAAAATGCAATAATGCACATTTTTCAAGAGCAATGCTATAAAACCTACTTGGATGACAACTTAGGTTACAACATAAGTGTAAATGTATTATTTTTTTAAATTTTTGATAATGCATTTACACTTGTGTTGTAACCCAAGTTGTCAACCAAGTGGACTAAATAGCATTACTCCATTTTTCAATGGGGAAATTCTATTAGAAGGCCTAACTTTTATTAATTGTATTAATCTAAGGCCTGAATTTTTTACTTTTTCAATAGAAGGCTTATATTTTAGGTTATTCTCACTTTAAGGCTTACATTTTAGTTAACTTTTCATTATAAGGTCCAGCTAACTTTACTTTTTAATATAAATATGTAAAACAATTATTATGTGAATAAAATAATAATATTATTATTATTATTATTATTATTATTATTATTATTATTTTATGATTTATATTTTGCATACTTATAATTAAAAAAAGTAATAAATATCATTAGCAAAAAAATTAATAAAAATTAATTTAAAGTTTTTTTTTTTTGAAGCAAAAGTTGATACTATGTATGCTTGTTGAAAATGATATATTTTGTAGATTGCATATATATATATATATATATGTATATTATTTTTTAGTTTTATGACATATTTATATTACTAATATAAATACTATTTCCATTACATATTTTTTGAATTCACTAAAAAATATAAATTACAAAATAATAATAATAATAATAATAATTTATTCACATAATAGTTGTTTTACATATTTATATGAAAAAGTAAAATTAGTTGGGCCTTATAATGAAAAGTTAACTAAAATGTAAGCCTTAAAGTAAGAATAACCTAAAATATAAGTCTTCTATTGAAAAAGTAAAAAAATCAGGCCCTAGATTAATACAATTACTAAAAGTTAGGCCTCGTAGTAGAATTTCCCCATTTTTCAATGCCTATGTAACATCACCCTTTTTTTAATATATAAAAACAAAATATATTTATATTTAAAATATATTACTTTTTTATTTTTTAGATTTTTTATTTTAGTTTTTAATTTTTTTTATCTAGGTGTAATGCTACATCACGTCACGTATATAACACACATAAGAAATTAAGAAATATTTAAATGTCACGTCATTATTTAATCCCACCACATTAAATTTTTATCTAGTAGAAGTGATTAGTGCATTGTTTTTGATGAAAATGTCAATTTTGTGTTTCTTTTTCGTGCCGGATAACAAAATGTCTCTTTTTCTTGACGTATTTTTTTGTAAAAATTATTAGAACTTTCTGCGCATCCACCGGATAGGTAATAAGGGTTAGTTAGTATGAGAGTTGAGGTTTAAGTAAAGGTGCGAAAAAATTCCGCCGCTGCGAATTGGGATTCTTCACTTTCGTCTCCCGGAACAAATTATTCATCCCCCTCCTCCAAGGCCCCGCTTATGCGGCCCTTCTCAAGCTCTTGGCCAGCTACAAATTGTTCATCCCTTCTCAAGCGTCTGTATTACGGCGAGGGGCTTTGTCCAGAAAGGTCAAATTATTCGGCACTTTCTCAAATAATCTGCTACATATACTTGATGATGAAGAAGGTCAATTTGTTCTATTTGTCTGTAGAAAAATTGCATCCCAAATGCTGCCAAAAAAAAATCAATTCATATTTCCTGATTTGGTGATGAAGAAAATGTTTTTTTTTTCTTTTTTTTTTTTGGTCTGTTTATATAAAACAGCTACCAATTTATGTATTTGTGGAATTCTAGATATTTAGTTCTTTTCATGGAATGATTTTTTTTTATTTATTTATTTATTTATTTTTTTTAACACTTGGACAGTTAAGAATTTTCGCCTTATTCCGGTAATTTGTTGTCGGAGCCTGCTTGAGATAGTAAAACGATAGTCTCCTCGAACATGTAAGTCTTTTTCTCGTACATCTCCAGCTGAATCAGGTGAATGATTTAAGCTCCGTTTGATGGCTGCAATGTTTTTACAACAGGTCTCGTATATGTGTGAAAAACCTGCCAAAGTATGTTGCGGAGGATCGCCTCAGAGAATTCTTCTCGGAGAAAGGAGAGGTTACCGACGCGAAGCTTATGCGCACGAAGTGATCATCTCTCTCTTTTTACCTTTTGTCTCGTCTTTGTTCAATAGACTAACTATGAAATGCTGGTTCAGGGAGGGGAAGAGCAGGCAATTTGGGTTTGTGGGATTTAGAACAGAGCATGAAGCCAAGGAAGCCATAAAGTACTTCAACAGGACTTACATGGACACTTTCAGAATTACTTGTGAGGTTTGTCTCTCTTTGCTGTTTTCCTTGTCTTTGTTCTTCTGCTTCTTAAGATTCTTATTTGTGAATTACTTGAGTAGGAAATTAATACGATGGTAAAATTGGGATGCAGAACTAATCAGAACTGTCTTTTTCACCTTTCACTTAGTTACTGAAGGAGACTATTAAATTGATGTTGTCATAATCTCTATAAAGAAGTAACCTTTGTATGTTATGAGCCAGGTTGCTCGTAAGGTTGGAGATCCTGACATTCCTCGTCCTTGGAGTCGACACTCATTGAATAAAAAGGAGACTTTTAAAGCAGAGAAGGGAGTAACTGGTTCAACAGTTTCCGAGGGGAAAAGTAAGGAGAGGAAGAAGGATGATGAGAATAATGATCCTCAACTTGAAGAGTTTCTACAAGTTATGGAACATCGTAGCAAGTCGAAAATGTGGGCCAATGATACACTTGCTGCTCCTTCTCTTGAGCAAGGCAAATCAACATTAGATGAAAAATTCACAAGGGCAAAAAGACGTGAGGAGAACTCAGATGGAGAGGTTGCCAATCTTGATGAGTTTAAGGGAGAAGGAAATGTTTTACCAGAGAAAGAAGAGGCAAATAAGCCAAACATTCTGGTTCATGATGAGGTCGTGTCTGACATAGATTATTTTAGGAGTCGGATTAAAAAGAAATGGTCAGATTCAGAAAGTAGCGACGATGATGGTAGTGCTGATGGCTCTGATCATAGTGATAGTGATGATAATGATGACAACAGTGATACTCAGAACAAGAGCAATTATGATCATGTTGGGGAGACACTTGAATCTGGTGAGAATGTGCCCATTGTTTCTGGAGGGGAGGCTGAAGACGACGGCTCTGGAGAAGATGGGAATAAAGGCCCCCCTGACATTATGGCTAGTTCTAGAAACGAGAATGATGTAGTTCTGGAATCTGGACGTCTCTTCGTTCGCAATCTTCCCTACTCTGCCACGTATGTACAATGTCACAACATTCTCCTTCCCTTCCCCAGGCCCTTCCCCCTCGACTAGTGTTAATAGAAGCACGTGTATATACATATAGTGCCGCATTAGTTCCATGCACGTCCTGTCCTTCTTTTCTTGAATCCAGCTCATGTATTGAGTTATAATTGCTGTTATTTACAGTGAGGAGGACCTAGAAGACCACTTCAGCAAATACGGAACCATTTCTCAGGTTCATATTGTCATTGATAAAGAGACAAGGCGCTCCAAAGGGATTGCCTATGTTCTCTTTGCTGTTCCAGAATGTGCTGCTAGGTAATAATTATCATCTAGCTATATAAAACCTAGTTGCACCGTGTACACTTTGCTTGAGAAAGCAGCTATGTTATATGTGCAGCAACAAGCATTTCGGTAAAAAGTAGTCCACATAAAATGGTTATCTGTGTACCAAAGTGAAAGACACGATTCTTTTTCCATTTATCGCTTTCATAACCCTACCCAATATATTTGTTGGTAATTGTGCTTAGTTGGATAGTTTTTATTTCGTTGTTCATGTCACATAAGTCTACGCACTATTATCCTTGTGTATGTGGATTTGTTTTCAGGAATTTTTTTCCAGTTTGTGCATCCTATGTCGTATTTAGTTAACATCTTTTAGTTCCACAATGTTATTTTCTAGCTACAGTTTTCCTTGAAGTTAGGGTTCATTATTAGTATCTTTATATTTATCTACATTCTTCAACATTTGGATTGATGAATGTGTACATCAGTTATCGTCCTTCTCACCATAATTGTTCTGTACCATGTTTACACAGGGCTTTAGAAGAGATGGATAGTTCGATTTTTCAGGGAAGGTTATTGCATGTAATGCCTGCTAAACAAAAAAAGCTACCTGATATGCCAGAGTATGATTTTGGTTAAAGATTTTTATTTCTTAAGTTTTGCTTCTTCCAATTTTAGAGCTCTCTGTGGATTTTAATATATTCAGGACCAATATTTCGTCAAAAACGTTTAAGCAACAGAGAGATGCAGAAAGAAAGGCATCAGAAGCAACTGGAAATACACGCTCGTGGAATACTTTATTTATGCGCCCTGATACTGTAAGTAAGATGCAAAAAAGTAGAATCTGAGTTTTGCCAGTAAGTGCCTGCATGTATGCATGTCTGATGGAGCTTGCTAAATTTTATTTATGGTAGAAAAGCTTGTAGTGGAGCAGATGTAAGCCATGACAAATTGCTTCTTCTACAAAGCTCCCTTTTTGAAATGATTTATTTAAGAATATCTGTTAAGTGTAATGTAAGAAAAGGAAATTTCCCTTACTCCTGATCCTCCTGCCTATTCTCTAATTAATTAAAATACCTCTACACCTATTACGTCACAGTGTGTAAGTGTAGCTTAAAATGTTTAATTCACTATAATTAGCTACAGATGTTTCTGAAAATTCCAGCCTGATTAACGCTCATCTTTGAGCCCTTGGACTATTAAGATGACTACATGTGAGAACTGCAATTTTTTTTTTTTTTTTGGGGGGGGGCTAATGTGATGCATTCTGATCTAATCCTAAAATTCCAGGTTGTTGAGAACATTGCACGAAAATTTGGTGTCAGTAAAAGTGAGCTACTTGATAGAGAATCTGATGACCTTGCTGTGAGAATCGCATTGGGGGAGACTCAAGTGATTGCTGAGACAAAAAAAGCTCTCGTCAGTGCTGGTGTTGATGTCTCCTCATTAGAGGAGTTTGCCACTGGTAAAACTGATGGTCTGAAAAGAAGCAACCATGTTATATTAGTGAAGAATTTGCCGTACGGTTCATCTGAAGGTGAATTATCAGATATGTTCGGGAAATTTGGCGGCTTAGACAAAATCATTTTGCCTCCTACTAAAACCCTTGCTGTGGTACGTGCTTTCGTTTTTTTTTTTAGGTTCCTATGGTTTTTCCTGCAAGAACACCATATTAGTCAACGTTATAGTAGTGATTATTCCCTCGTTAAAGAATTCTTAATTGCTCTGTTCAAGAAGAATATGCTCATCTGAGACTCCTTAATTCATATGATCCTATATTCAATTTTATCAAATTATGGTCGTGGCAGATTTATTCCGAACTTCAGTGAGCATTTTCTTAAGTACAACAGTTGTGGTGGAGCCACATGCCACCTTAGCGGGAGCCTGCGGCCATTTTCCACTATCCGCCATTGATAATATTGCCTTTATTGTATCTAAAACTATAAGTCATGGGGTAGAAGTCAGAATTTAATCTGCATATCATTGTCCACTGAGTGGTCGAATTTTTTCTATTACCTTGCTGATTTTGACCTTTGCCTTAGAGGCTGCATGATATATAGTGAATAAACTTGAACTGTGGTTTACGTTCGGCTTTGCTTTGTGCAACAAGGCCGGCCATTTGTTTTCTCCTTGGCTTACGTCTTAAGTGTTTTTTGTCTAATCAGTGCAATTACGCTCTTATCCATGGTATAAGTGTAATTGATGCTTGCTAAACCCCTGGCCTTTGATTGTATATATATCTTAATTGGGTAATATTATTAAAATCTGGTTCATAGGTTATATTTCTGGAACCTGCTGAGGCTCGTGCAGCTTTCAGAGGTCTATCATACAAGCGGTACAAGTAAGTTTGTGTAGTCATTGGAAATGTAATAAGTATTTTGTTCAAGAATGCAATATTTTATTTATAGTTATCCTGAAGGAATTTAAGTAGGCATATATTAGTCATGGGCTATATAAGTTGCAATGCATAACTCTATCAATTACTACTTATATGTATTTTACGGTCACGTTGTGGTTTGATGGCTTTTCGAGATTTAATTGTATCCCATCATGTACATTTCAAAGATAAATTAAAATAAAGATTGTTATGATTGTGGAATAAAGATTTGAAATTGAAGCTGCGGGAGAATTTTGCTCCTAAAAAGTTAGTGCATCGTTTAAAAATTTAATTATGTATTTCACCTTAATTCTTGTTTTGGTAATCAGTAGTTGCTAGTTTCATTTTTCTTTTTGTTTTCCGTCTGGAGTAAATTGATTGTCTTTTATTCCTACAGGGATGCTCCGCTGTATTTGGAATGGGCACCTGGTAATATTCTGTGTCAAACTTCAACTGTCGGCAACAATGAAGTAGTTGGTGAAGCTGATGTGAAGAGAGCTTTCCTAGATCAGCAAGTTGAGGATATAATGGATGCAGATGTTGATCCTGATAGAATTGAGGTACAGTTTGGCTCCATTATATTTTCTTACTTGTTAGCTTGCGTCTGAGCCCGTGGACTGCATACCTGTGACCTTATTTATCTCTGTACAGTCACGCTCGTTATATGTCAAGAATCTGAACTTCAGAACATCTGATGAAAGTGTGAAAAGGCATTTTACAGAGCACATGAAGGGAGGAAAGCTTCTAAGTATCAGGGTATTTTGCGCACCTCTAATCTTTATCTGTACCATGAATACCTGCTATACTCTCTATCTGGTTTATTAATATTTCCAGTTTTTCTGCCATAGGTGAAGAAGCATATGAAAAATGGGAAAAATGTTTCAATGGGATTTGGTTTCGTGGAGTTTGATAGTGTTGATACTGCAGTGAATGTGTGCAAGGACCTGCAGGGAACTGTTCTTGATGGTCATGCCCTCATATTGCAACGTTGTCATGCTAAAAAGGATGAAATTTTGCCCAAGAAATTTGAAAATGACCGGAGTTCAACCAAATTGATAGTAAGGAACGTAGCATTTGAGGCAACAGAAAAGGATCTGAGGCAATTGTTCAGTCCATTTGGTCAGGTATAAAGCTCATCCTTCTCTTCAGATTGTGAACTTTATTTCTAATGGCATTTGTTGTGAAGATTTATAATTTCGCACGTTCCTACTTCCTAGTGGCAACACATATTTCAATTCTTCCATTGAATTAAATTTTAATCTTTGTTCTTATTGTTTACGTTGGGGTCCTTGACCTCATATCTTCGGAGTTGTAAATTGTTGATAATTTCTCAGATATGAAAGGATCTCTTGTATCAACTCCTTATGCAATGTTCAGATAATGTTTTGACTGCAAAATGAGATGAATGTTAGGCACCTTAACAAAATTTAATGTTCATTATTTTTTGCTTTTTTCTTTGCAGATAAAGAGTTTAAGGTTGCCTATGAAGTTTGGCAACCACAGAGGTTTTGCATTCGTAGAATATGTCACCAAGCAAGAAGCCCGGAATGCCCTGGAAGCTCTTTCAAACACCCATCTCTATGGCCGTCACTTGGTATGTTAGGCTTTGTTGTGTGAAACCAAAATTTCATGGTTGTACGAGCTCCGATATAACTTCCTGGACATTTTACAGGTTTTGGAGAGAGCCAAAGAAGGTGAGAGCTTAGCGGAGTTGAGAGCAAGAACAGCGGCCCAGTTCACGGACTCACCCAAGTTATCCAACAAGCGAAAGCATTTGGCCGTATTGGATGAAGGAAATGTCAAGTTTCAACGAATCGCAGAATAAAATTTTGGTTTTCTTCTGATGAACCTTGAATATATTCATTTTTGGAAAGCTCATACTTTAAGACTTTGAGGAGTTGATTTTAGATTTGTAACGAGGATCCAAACAACCCATGGGTCATGATAATTTAGGGTTAGGCCTTCGGAACAGGTTTTGTCACGGTGCATAGATCCCAACATGATTAAGAGAAGTTAGGGAACGTGTGTTGTTACTTTATATTCTTATAAGAGGATTTATAAACGAACTGAAGTGGCAATTGCTTCTTGGAAAGGAAGAGTTGTGGTAGGATTTTTGTTTCTAACTATTTTCGTTTTAGTTTTCGGGCAAGAGTCTTGCTCTCTTAAGGTTCGTTTCACTCCTGTGTGGCCGCACTCTTTCTCCCAGACTATATAAATTTAACACAATGTCTATTTATGAAACAAAAGTAAATTGTGTTAAAATAAACAAACGCTCAAATGAAGATCATAATATGGCAGACAACATTAGAATTTTTTCTCAAGAACATGGTTCGGAGTAAGCCCCTGTATGCTGAAATCTTTGAGCCAAAGACTAAGCATCAGCTGGCACAAAATCTCAATCAAACTAACTCAGACAATCCTATCTTTAGCAAAGCCAAGCTGAAGTTATGTTAACCAAGTATTCAAACAAGGCAAGTAGCTTAAAAAAAATGTTAACCAAGTATTCAAACAAGGCAAGTAGCTTAAAAAAAAAAACAACATTAACGATAATAAGAGTTTAAATAACCTAGGTAACTAAATATATAATAAAATGTTATTCATAGTTATTTAAGTAAAGTCACAAAACTAACATAAAATGTCTTAAGTCAAGTGGCTCATAAGGCCACTTGATTATCCATGAACTTGTGTTCGAAACCCCTCCTCCAAAACTTTTTGTAAATATGCCACATCAGCTCTACAACTAAAAAAAAAAAAAAAATTGTAAAAATTTCACGTCAGCTAGCCGGTGGCAGGACAATTTGGCAGGACAATTTTTCAGGTTTTTTTACACTTACGGATGTGATCCAAAAGTGGGTATTGAAGAAGAGCAAACCTCGAATCGGTGTCACTTACAGTACGAAATCGCCAATTTTTCCTACGTACAGCCCTCATTTCTAATCTGTACGCACTAAAATATTTGAACCTCATTGAGCAACACCAAAAATACATATGTATATGAGTGAATATTTTTGAAAGGGATGTACATATCTGAACTGTTGCTCAGAAATATCACCATCCTTATTCACGAGTGAAATATATTTTTCTCTAGCACCTATATTTACTTTAAATATCATGATTATTAACTCCAACCAAATATATTAGATAATAAATATCTAGAATAAGAAAAGCCCATAACCAAAACCACACAATCTTGAATCAAAAGCAGCAAGAAATAACTTGAAATTGGATGATTGACAATTGTGGTACCAGTGCGATGAATTCTATAGTGCAGTACCAATGCAATGCATGTCGTAATTTCAATAAGGTAAACATTTAGAACTGGATTATTGAAAGAACGTAAAATACATGTATTGGAATAAAAAAAAAAATGTAATTGATGTATTATTAAATACATTCTTATACACAACATTATTTATTTGGTCTTTTGGTACATCGTCTATCGCCACAAATTATATTAGGATTCTAGATAGACGTAAATAAATCAATTAAATTATTTAGCAGAATATATATGTTATGATCTATATTGGTTTTATGAAATTGTATAGCCAAATGTAATCTATAGCCTTATTATTTTAAAATTATAAATTACTTAATTTAAGGAAAAGAAAAATTGTGTACGTGTATGCAATCATTTCCAAATTTGTATTTTAGGGATTAAACAAAACCTAAATTTTCAGCATGTTCTAATCCGATTTCATTTTGAATTTTAAATAAGTAATATCTAACTCTGTTTTATATGTTTACAAAAATGAGAAATTTACACAGATTACTAATCCTTTGTTAAATAATATTAATATTACGAAATCTGAATCTTATATTCATAAGTACGAATGTTATCTAATTAAA